CTGAAGGTGCTGTCAGAGCCCCAGACACCAAACATGGAGCTGCAGGGTCTGGTGTCTGCTCTGCCAAGTTTCAGTCTTCCTTTGATCTGATCTTTTTTGTTAGGCATCCATTTACTCTTTAGGAATAATGTTTATTCCATTATACATTAGAAGTAGGAATTTGTCACATGAAAAATAAATGACCCAGAGACTGATACTGGGATTCAAACTTCAAGCTGAATATCAGAAAGGCAAAGCAGCTGGCCACTAACTTCTTACTTCTACCTCAGGCTGAATGGGCTGATCCTGTCTCCAGAAGCTCTCACCAAGCCTCAGACTGTAACCTCTCCTCAGCATGGCTGGAGGATGAATGCCTCATACTAACTACTTGCTCCGGTCTTTTATACCCCTCTAGTGCTGGGATTAAAGGTGTGAGCTATAATTCTCTTTTAGACTGATTCAATCTTGTGTATATCTGAGTGGTCTTGGACTCACAGAGATCCGGCCACCTCTTGATACTTAGTCCTAGGATTAAAGGTGTATACCACCACCTCCCTAGCTTCTGGTTGCTGGGATTAAAGGTGTGTATCACCATTACAAAGTCAGTTTGCGCTGACTTTGCTTTTCTGAATCCTCAGTCAAGCTTTAATAAATCATAAATAATATATCACTACAGAAACCTTGCTTTTTGATTTTACAAGAGGCTCCCAATTAAGACTTCCTTGGTCTTAGATGAGACTTTGGACTTTTGTTTGTTGTGTTTTTGTTTTTCAAGGCAGGGCTTCTCTGTGTAATCCTGGCTGTCCTGGAACTCGATCTATAGACCAGGCTGGCCTTGAAATCAGAGATCTACCAGCTTCTGCCCCCTGAGTGCTGGGATTAAAGACATGTGCAACTACTGCCCTGCTGAGACTTTGGACTTTTGAACAGTGTTGAAACTCTGTTTATATAGACTCAATGGAAGACTTAGCTAGAGTTATTCAGCAGAAGCTAATGTTCTCCCTGGAGTAAAGAATTAACCTGTTCACAACTATTCTAAAGGAACAAATGGAAACAATTTAGTTATTGTAATGAAAACAGAATGTGGGACCAGGAAGATGACTCAAGAGGTAAAAGTGCTTGCTGCCAAACCTGACATCCTGAAATCAATACCTGGGGCCCACATGGCAGAAGAAAAGAACTGATTTCCATAGCTTGTCTATGACCTCCACTTATGCACCATAGGATGTACCTGCCCACCCCATACACTAAATAAATAAATGAATGTAATTAAAAACAAACAAATCTTACAATCCCCTCTAGGTGTGGTGACTCATCACCTGGGAGGCAGAGACCACAGACCTTTGTGAGTTCAAGGCCACTCTGGTCTACGGAGGAAGTTCCAGGCCAGCAGGCAGATACAAAAAGGGATTAGGAACAATGCCAGTTCCCAACATGTGAGCCTGTGGGAGATATTTCATATTCAAACCATAACACCAACTATACAGTATTCTGAAAAAGGAGCACTATAGAGACAATAAAAAGTTCAGCCTGTTGTGGTGGTCCATACAAGTAGAATAGGCTGAAGAGGAGAAGCAGTGGTAGAAAGACTAGAAGTTCAAGGCTGGCCTGGGCCATATATCCCTTTAGGTTGGTAAGATGGCTCAGAGCAGCAGTTCTCAACCTGTAGGTCACAATCATTTTTAGGGGACTAAACAACCCTTTCTCAGGATTTGCCTAAGGCCATCAGAAAACACAAATATTTACATTAAGATTCATAACAGTAGCAAAATTACAGTTATGAAGTAGCAATAAAAATAATTTTATGGTTGGGGGTCACCACAACATGAGGAACTGTATTAAAGGACCACAGCATTAGGAAGGGTGAGAACCAGTGGCTCAGAAAGCGAGAGTATTTGCCACCAAGCTTGAAGGTAAAAGTCTGATCCACTGGGACCCATATGGTAGAAAGAGAACCAACTTCTTCCACAAGTTATCCTCTGATCTCCACACATGGTCGTATATAGAAACAATAAATAAAATGCAATAAAATATTTTTTAAAAAGAAGTTACAATTACTCCTGGTCCTCTAATCTGTTTGTGGGTGTGTGTTTAATTAAATGAAACACAATACTGAGTTCTGTGCCCAGAGAATCCAATTTTGAAAAACCAAATATTTTAGAGAATTTCTAAGACAGGGAATCATAAACCATACCTAATAAATTTAAAAACAAAACAGAGTTGTGCTTGAGGTGTTGCTCTATAATACAGCAGTTGCCTAACATGCCTAAAAACCTAGATTTGGGCTGGAGAGATGGCTCAGTAGTTAAGAGCATGATGGCTGTTTTTCCAAAAGTCTTGAGTTCAATTCCCAGCAACCACATGGTGGCTCACAACCATCCGTAATGAGATCTGGTGGGCTCTTCTGGCCTTCAGGCAAACATACATACAGGAAGAACACTATATACATAATAAGTAAATCTTAAAAAAAAATATTCAATACCCCAGCACTGAAAAAAAAAGATAACAGGATTAACAAATTTTGTATGCAATTATTTTCATGACTATCATAAGTTTGAGCATTTGAGTTTCTTCAAAACACTGAATTCAAAATAACATAGGGAACCCTAAGTATACTTGACAATTATGCAGCTAATAGCAATTGTTAATGCTTCCGTCTAGGCTTAAAATAATACAATCCTATCCTTGAACTTTATGAGTTTTTGTGATAATGGAAGACCCAATTACATTTTTTTAATAATTTATTTATTCATATTTTATGTACATTGGTATTTTGTTTGCATGTATGTCTGTATGGGGGTGTCAGATCCCCTGGAACAGAAGTTATAGACAGCTGTGTGTTGCTGGAGTTTTCTTGTCCAGCCAGGTCCTGCTGCCCTTCTCAGCTCCAAATAAATACATGAGCACTATGTTATAAAACTGTCGGCCAATGGCTAGGGCTTCTTATTGGCTAGCTCTGTCTTAATTATTAACCAATAAGCACTAATCTATGTATTTCTACATGGCCTTTTCTTACCAGAGAATGCTTGGTGCATCCTATCTTCCCAGTCTCTACATAGTGCCTCCTCAAGGCGCCTCTCTGCCTACCTTTCCCAGAATTCTCGTCATCTCCTAGTCCTATCTATCTTCCTGCCTCTATTGGCCAAAAAGTGTTTTATTCATCAACCAATAAGAGAAACATATATACAGAAGGACAACTCCCATCAGTATGAGCTGCCACGTGGGTGCTTGGAATTGAACCCAGGTCCGTTGGAAGTACAGCCAGTGCTCTTAACCACTGAGCCATCTATCCACCATGACCCCCAATTACATTTCTTTTTTTTTTTTAAAGATTTATTTATTTATTTATTTATTTATTTATCAAGTATACAGTGCGTGCCAGAAGAGGGCACCAAATCTCATCACAGATGGTTGTGAGCCACCATGTGGTTGCTGGGAATTGAACTCAGAACCTCTGGAAGAGCAGTCGGCCCTCTTAACCTCTGAGCCATTTCTCCAGCCTACCAATTACATTTCTGTAAGAGAACCATTCTCCAAAACATTTCCCTTCTACTGAAAATGTCAACTTTATTACAGGACATTTGAATTTTCTGAATGCAAGCTGGGAATGGTGGTACGGCACTATGTAAACTGAGGCAGGAGGATAGTTGAAGGTCATCCTGGGCTACCAGGCAATACCTCTTCTCAAAACACAAAAGAAAAAAAAAAAAAAAAAAAAAAAAAAAACAAAAAAGAGGCAGGCAGACAAGCATGCTCAGCAAGCCTTAATGAAGGATCTCTAAAAGTGGACAATATTTATTTCAATTATAGTTACATTAAGTCATACTGTGTTTAAACCTATGTCAGATTCAGTCTACCATAATCAGGTAGCTGTCTCAACAGCTTCTTTTAAAAAGACACCTGCTGTATGAGGCAGACGCTATGTTAGGTTTAATTCAGACTACACTACATGATAATAAGAATCTTAAACTTTGAGTCAATAAAAGCAGAATTAGCTACAGCTGTCACCACCATAAAATTGACAGAAGCTATGTTAATATATCCCAAATCTATGTTAACTGTAGCAGTTGCTAATTTTCTCAATATACCTGAGTTAGCTTCTTTCCTGTCTATGCTAACCTATAAATACATAGTGCAAATATATACTAACCTCTGCAATACAGATGTTCTATCTGTATTCTATCTCCAATGAGAACCTAATCATTCTTCACATTTTAATTACACCCCAAAGTATTTTCAGTGATAACTCTCTTTCAGAGGTAACTCTAGAAGACAATTAATAAGCATGTCGCTCAGTTAGTGGCAGAAACATAACTGTATGTTGGTGGCTAGGAAGTCCCATAATTACAGTATTTAATATCTACTGTTGTATTTAATACCTACTGACTCAGACCAATGAGCTCTCCAGGTGCCACTAGCTAATACAAGTTTGTCAGGATTTGGAGTCAGAGCTTAGAGATTCCGGATTCCATTCAGCCACTGTATAAGTCTCATACATAAACAAAGAGATCTAATGTGAAGGCCTCAAAGCAATATAGCGAAAACAAAGTATGATTTGGGAAGAAAAAAACTATTTCCCTTCTTTAAATTGACTGCTAAAGAATACGGCTCTTACAGAAATACTGGGTTCAGCAATGACCTTCCTTATGCATGATGAGGTTTTTCAACCCTGTCAAGTATTCAAACTGAAACACACATGATGGGAGAACTATGGACAAAAGAGAGCTCCTGTGTTTTTTGGAACGATCGTGTTTGCATCACGTGCCCAAGCACCAGTCAAACTGGAACACATAAATGATGCAGCCCAAAAAAGAGGGCTTCGCACTTGGACCCGGCCCACAGCCATCCGCTGCGCTCAGGAGCGGTGAGGACAACGCTAAACATCAAAGACTCCCTGGAGTCCCAATCTTCCCACGGGTCCCCGGAAACCTAACACTCAAAGTTCACAATCTCCGCAGGGCAGCTCCCTTCTGCACTCGGGCTGGCGACCGCGCCCTCCGGCCCTCGGGCCCTCTACTCACAGGCTGGAGGTGTCGGGGGGCAGCGGGCCTGACAGTGCCCTCCAGCTGGGCGCGGGCAGCTTCCTTCGACTGCAGTCCAGCAGAGGAAGGCGGCAGGCGCAGGGCGCCGGG